TACATAAGCATCTTGAAAATACTGAACGAAAATCGACGCACCTGGCAAAATTTTTATTTTCATATTTATGACAAAAAGTAGGTAACCTTTTGTCTTTATCATCGATGTTTACAGCAAATATTTAAAAATTGTTAGTTATTTTATGTCACACTTATCCCTGATCTATTTTGCAATCATTTTACACTCTATTTCGCATACAGTTACAAAACTTTGTATTTAATTATATATATTTTTAATGGCAACGAATGAAACGTTTGCATTGTATATATAGAATGTCGGACGTTATTAGAAAAATATGAAAAAAAGGTACTGATAAAGCAATTACATAGGTAGGGTTATTATATGGCAAGGCTATTAAATGGCGTGTATTCCTGAAAAATGCTAATGTTATCCAGAAAAAATGAGAGCGCCATTAAAAAAAATTATTCGAAATACGTAAAGAAAAATGTAAAAAACAAACAAGTTGTAAAAAGCAAAATGCATGTCTTTCTTATTAAGGGAAACAACATTTTCATATAAAAAATACGAAAATTAAAATTACCCCACTTGTTGCAACGCTTAACTTACATTTTGAATTACGTTCATTATATTCGAAAGGATATTGTGATGCATTTCAAACTTTGCCGGCTCCTCGTTTGGTATTCTATAGAGAATGTCTAGGAAAAATATGAAATATGAATTGGTCATACATTAGCTGCTAGTTTTAGGCATTATATACAATACCTAGGCATACTATAGAATGCTGGGTTTAAACGTAGCCCGTAACATATATATTGCTAATATTTAATATATTGTATATTTTTAAAAAAGTATTAAATCTTGAAAATAATAGTTTGTAAATACATTGCACTGCCTTACGTTGTATACATTGCAGTGTTTTACAAATCTAAGGAATTAAATAGATAAATACTTCTTGAATTACAGATAATATTTCTTGCAGAAATTTTGAAAATTTATTTTCAATGAATTTTTATATAGAAATTTGTAATAGCTTCACTGTTTAAGAATAAAATGTTTTTTATTGCTTATTGTATGTCAACTGTTATTTTATTTTTGATTCTCACCAAAATCATTATATTTTATTCTTTCAACAACAACAACAAAAACTTACAAAATTGAGCTAATAAAAAGGCACTTATAGCTTTCATTACTTCATATCTGAAAATATTAAGAATTGTTATCATCTTACTTATTTTACCTATCAATTTACCCATAAAAATATTTTTTTTATTTTCAGTTTAGCCATTGTATTATTTATGAGTTCATACATTTTTTAATGTGATATTCTAAATCAAAAGAAATAATTATTAAGTTAGAAATTACAATTCATAATTCTTTGGATGAAATAACGCATTTAATGCATGAGTGTCTCATTTACCAAATCGATGTTGTTTCTAATCCCCAGGAGGTCCATCCCAATTAGACCAAATCCATAAGTCCAAAAATGTCCAGAAAGTCTGAAAACAGATGAGGTTTTGAAAAAACCTCGTTGATTTTAAAATCGATACAGTTTAGAATATGCTCAGGCGAAGCCTGAGCAGTCCTACATTTAGTGCCAAGTCCAAAAGTCTTTTGCCCCTGAACATACGAGAGACACCCTAAGTGACCACTTGCAAAGCGAGACAAACAAGTCTGCTGGCTTCTAGGTCCCTCAAAAAGCAAGGCACTTCCAGGTCGTTTTCTGAAATACCAACTATGCGGAGGAGGAACCCTCCAGAGGTCCATAAACATTTTTTTGCACTCTGAAAAGACCTCGTTGAAAGTGGAAGGTAGATCTGGCTGTAGAGGTTCCAAAGAAGCATCTTTAGCCAGTGAGTCCGCCATCTCGTTACCTTTGATTCCAACGTGTGATGGAATCCATTGGAAGTGTACCCCAAAGTCCGCTGAGAGCCTGAAGAGCATCCCCAAAATTGAAGCCGCAGCCCTGTCTCCAACATTCATCCAGTTGCTAAGGTGTTGGATTGAAGATTTGCTATCCGTCAGTATCCATATATGCTTAAAGTCAGGCTCAGCAATATTCTCAACATGTCTTAGGCCATTTTCAATCGCAATAAGCTCAGATCTGAAAACTGAGCAAAATTCAGAATTTCTAATTTTGAGACTCAATGTGTACGTGGGTGTTTTAATAAAAACCCCACTACCTGAATGACCTTCGTCGCTCTTGCTGCCATCTGTGTATAGTTGTAAAGCATCTGATGGTATTTGGCTAATAGTTTCAAGAGCCATTTGTTTCATAAATTCTGGGTTGTCTTTACTTTTATAGGCCGGGTACAACAGCTCCGTATGGAAATGGATACCTGAAAAATCAGTAACAGGGCTAAAACGTGACCTCAAGGAGTGAGGCTCAATTCGGCAGGGATATTGCAAGTCTACAAGATGAATTGAAACAGCCAAAGAGAAGGGACTGTTTCTCTTCAGTCTATGGTTATTTTTCCAATTTTTGAGATAGTAAGAGGTTCTGTTCTGGTCACCAAAACTGATGAGCTTATTGTAGTATTTCTNAGGTATTTATTTTTTTTCTAGTAGAGGATAGTCTACTTTACTCGTCTGTCAATTAATACTAATAATATATTGGATTTTTTGTTAGTTAAAAATAGTTATGTAAAAAATGTTACAATTGACCCCACTCTCCCCTACAGTTACGAGATATAAAGTGTTCAGAAATCAAAACATAATTATTCAAAAAATGAACTAAATTGATTCACCAAGTTAAATATTGATTTATTATAACAGGAGGGGGGCGGGGCAACCTGCGGCTCGTGAGCCACATGCGGCTCTTTGAAGGATTATTTGTGGCTCTCGATAAATGTACCCCAATTCCCTTTTTATTTTTGTGCTATTATATTTTAAAAAATTATTATCGTCCCGTATGTGTTTCAAAATGTCTTTTAAATTACTGACAACAAATATGAAAGACTAAGTGCAACGTTGTAACAAATTTCATTTCCGTCCAAGTTGATATATATATATGACTCATCGAAAACTGCGCGAACGAACATAGACAGTGGCGTAATCGACCGATTTCGAACCGATTAACACGATCTACCAATAATTTATTCTTTTCCTCTAAGATCAGATTAGATAAAATAACATTATGATAATTATCATGTTATTTTATCTATTTTGTTTAAATTTAAAGAAAATTTCTGGCAATCTTTGTATTTATGTATGTTGGATCAATACAAGAGAAAATCAAAATTTTAAGAACGTTCCAAAATCGAAAAAAGAATAAAGCTAGAAAACTATACTTTTTTTCAGAAAAAAAGTCCGATTTTTGTGCGCAATATTATTGTAATTCATAAAATTTCTCTTCTCCAGCCCAGGTAATCCTTTCTTTAAAAAAATTCTCCTGTGACGTTTTTTCGGGTCGATGAATTACTTTTAAAATCCTGCCATGAGTTTTAGCCGAAAAACAATACCACAACTAAGAGATCATAAGAGTGTCTAATGCAAATTAACTATCTCATTAAAAACAGTGCAAATATAAATTTTAAAGAAAAACTACTTAACTTCCTTAAAAACGAATCTTCTTCAAAAAATTCCTCTGTGCTGTTTTTCGGGTAGATGAATTACTTTTTAATATCGAGCCAAGAGTTTTATCCGAAAAAGATTACCACAGCAAGAGATCATAAGACTGTTC